AAGCTGAAGTGAACGCAGTATTGAATTTGTCTATAAATGGGTAGCTTAGTGCTAGAGACAACCTCTTAGAATATGAGTAATTAAACTTCAGAGGTACTTTCAAGGGAGCTACTTAAAAAAACACATATGATCAATTCTACAGGATATTTTCAGATAGTTATATGTTAATTACTGTAGAAGTCATTCATGGTTCCAAAATGATTAATAGTTTGGAATGGGTATGCATTTTCCTTATTGATCTAGGAATCAACATGTGTCATCTCCATATGGATTTACCTGCAAATGTGGGCATATTTGCCCAGCTGTTTATTTCTGGGGAATCAAATTAAATTAATATTTCTATGGAAATAATAGGAATTCTCACTCTGTGATGATATTGGACATGATGCAACCAAAGTTTTCATTCTGGGTGCAGTTCAAGGTTCTGGTTATGACCTTTAAAGCTTCAAACAGCTGGGCACTTATGCAACTCCTTGCTCTCATTTTGATCTGCCTTAGAATTAAGATCAGCTATGGAGACCCTGTTTTGAGTCCCCTCACTATATCCACTGTAGATAGGTTGGATACCTGAAAGAAGACTATCTTTGTGGTGGTACCCTAGCAGCAGCAGCTCATGGGGGGGTTGCACACACATCCCAGTCACACATGGGGCAAGCAGGTTGCACACACATCCCAGATGAGAAATGAGGTACCCTTACTAGCAAGCATCAGGAGGTGGCAGCAGAGCTGCTAGGGCCACAGCCCACTGTGAAGGCATGCAGCTTCTGAATGGCTAGCAGAACCCATGGCAGTCACAGGGCAGTGATGTCACTTGCTATCACAGAGTTCTGCTAGCCACGTAATAGATATACAACTGCATGGAGCTTCAGCTGTGGCCCCAGAAACTCCATCACCATCTGCCAATTCCCCCAGCGGCACTCATTAGTGGAATCCAGAATGTTCCCCATGAGCCATCATTGTGTCCTGCCAATGGAATTCCTTCCCATCATCCCATCAGCCAGGCTAAAACGTTCCTATTCCTCCAGACATTTGGTCATTTTCCCCACTCTGTCTTGTGCTGAACTGTGATGTTTTACTAAGGCCATTTCCGCACTTTCCTTTTAATCCATGTTCACCGTGGTGTCTCCAGGCAATTCTGCACTAAAATTGAATTCAACCTTTTTATTTTGGGTCCCCCCTCCTCCATTCTGCATTACAATACCTCCCTTCAGTGGATGGCCCGGTTTCAGCCTGTTGTTGCCCTGGGTTTTTTGGATGCTGTTTTGCCATAGACTTAAATTGCCTCGACCCAAACACGGAGAAAATCTGGAGTGGCAGGCAAATGTGGAAAGGACCTAAATGTGTGCTGGTTTGTTGAAGCTGGCTTGTTATCCTGATCATTGCTTTATTAATCATTGTTTTATTGGATTATCTGCATTGTTTGGAATTGAAAGCTTTCCCTGAAGCCTGTGGCTGAGGGGTAAGATAGAAATATTTTAAATAAATAACTTATGAGCTTACTTAAATCCCACTGAATGGAATCTGTTTTTAAGCATATGAACAACCTTCCCATTGAAATGTACTGGGCAGAAGCATTCTGAACTTTGACAGTGTGACCCCCCAACTGTGATTATTTGCATTTTTGTAGTTAGACTTTCCACAGATATTTTCACAAGGAAGGTTAGGTCAGCCAATCTGTTGATTTCTCACCATGTCATATTTCCTGTGCTAATAACAAAGGGTTACAGTAATGGAATCAAATTTTAATCCCTAACCATTAGTGGGGCATATATTTTATTATGCTGCTTCTTTTTTGAATTAGATGGAAAATAGATTTTACTTTTATTAAATAATTTAATATGCATCTGTTCAAAAGGTATTTATGAGGAGAGGATCCTGCTGTATTCCAATAATGATTTTAGTAGTGGTGAACATTTGGGGTGCTTAACAATTGGTTTATATTGGCTTAGCATATGCCTCTGCATTATATTAGCTTTATGCAAAATCAATGTTGTCAGGAACAGCCTTTTTGTGGGAATTTCCACTCTCATAAAAGGATGAATAAAATACATGACTAGCACTTTTGTAGGGAAGAAGCATGATAAACCCGTCTTCTATTTTCACACTTCATTTTAAAATCAGTACCATAGCTATTGTCAGTTTCTCCTTGGAAAATTCAATGACCCTGTGACTGACAGGAGGCTGTCCTACCCCTGAAGGGAAAAATAGTCACTCAGCTATTTCATCCCTGAGCCTATGGGAGTGCTGTTCCAGCATCCAATCACCTCATTTTTGGGGGGGACACAGCACAGTCTTAATTCAGGTCTGCCTGAGGGAGAGTGCAGTGATAGTTTGGGTCTGCCTCAGCAAAACAGCAGACAGTTGGAAGAGTAGGTAGCATTGCAGAGTGGTTTAGCTCTATCTCTGGGAGAAAACAGAGTACCCAAGTATAAAAAAGGATGGGCACGAACCAGGAAAATGTGGTGCAGTTCATGGTTTCTGGTGCCCCTGGTTCATAAGCCATGAACCATCACAAGCTTTTCAGGGCTAAATGAACTGGCTTAGTTCATGAGGTTTGTGATGTGGTAGAATGCCCCCTCCAGCATGCTAGAGACACCAAACTCCCAGGAGAATTTCAGCTGATTCTCGTCTGCCTGCCCTCAAAGTTTGGTGAAGATTGGATTTCGGGTGTCCAAGTTATGGCCCCCCAAAGAAGGTGCCCCCAGGAAAGGTGTATAGAATGGAACCTGTGCACGCTAGAAGCATCAAACTCACAAGGGACCTTCCCCTGATCCTCCTCTATATGCCCTCCAAATTATATACAGATTGGACTTAGTTTAGCCCCCCCTAAAGGTGCCCCCAGAAAAGTGCTTTGGGGGGAATGTCAGGTGCAGGTTCAAAAGTGTATAGATTGGACCACCTGCAGGCTACACACACCAAACATACTGGGAACCTCACCCTTCAACCCTGTCCTCTACAATCTCTCCAAGTTGGGGGCAGATTACATTTCTGGGGTCCCTGTTACAGACCCCCAATAAAGGTTTCCCCAGTGCTCTCTCTGGAAAAGGCAGCTGCAGTCACAGGAGTCTATGGAATGGCTTAGTAACATGCCAGTGGCACCAAACTCAAAGGAAAACTCCACCTGTGCAGACTCCCCCCCACCAGACACTTGAAGCAAACCAAGCATCCCCCCTATGCTCACCCCCCCCCCAAGTCTCCAAAGGCATATATATAAGTGATTCATCACAGATTAGGTGAAAGTATGATACAACAGGGAACTGAGGTAGGAGACCCAGGTGATGGGTACCACTTAAACTGGATATGTAGACTCCCCTTGTACCATCCTTTTTAAAATGCTGTTTTACTGTTTTACTTAACTATTTATTATTACATTCATGTTGCCGAATGTCCTATTACTGTGCTCTGCCCTGAGTCCATTCGCAGGGAGGGCGGACTATACACTTGAAAAATAAATAAATAAAATATTCACCCTGCATTATGAAATATGCTGTAAATGATGCCAATAATACTATGCAGATCTTTCAGACTAATGTTAAGACATTTGTTCTATTTCATGCATTGGTTATATTCCAGCATTTCAGGGAGGGAGGCTAAGATTTAGTGATAGATCATGTGCTTGACATGTAGAAGGTCCCATGTTCAATTCCTGGCATCTCCAGTTAAAGGATTCAACAAAAGGTAATGTGAACGACCTCTGCCCAAGACCCTCGAGAGCTACTATTAGTCTGAGTAGGCAACACTGACTGGGGGGGGGGGGGATTTTTTTTTTTTGTGGGTTGCCATGCCTGGAAGTCATGGCAACCTCTGGCAACTCCTACTGGGGCATGAAGGATGTTCAGAGAAGTAGCTTGATAGCCTGCCTCTGGCCTCCCGGCCATGGTATTCTCTGGCGGTTTCCTATCCAAATACTTGCCAGGGTCAGCCCTGCTTAGCTTTCTAGGTCTGATGAGATTGGGCTTGCCTAGGCTATCCAGGTCAGGGCTAGGCAACACTGACTTTGATGGACCAGTGGTTTGATTCAGTACAAGGCAGCTTCATATGTTCCCATACGTTTTGGGGGTTAATCGTTTCATGCCTTAAAAAAAAAAAATAAGAAGACTGCTTTTCTTCCAGCAAACCCTGATGCATTATATAATAAAACGAATGGAAAATATTGAATGTCTTCGCAAGTTAGATTAATTTAGCTTGGCACTGTAAATACTTCTTTATGCCAATAAGGGGTGGATAATTATAATATACGGGAAGCATCCACAATGTAGTTGTCACATTTGCATTTGGGAATATAAAATTTGTTTCTAATGCATTTCAACCTATGTATAGAGCATTAAATAACACACTTTACTTTCCTATGTTGCTTTGTGAATGTACATGCAAATGATTGGACCCCATCAAACAGCAAACAGAGAAAGTTTGCAAAAGGAGTTTTTGGTGCATGTCCCTTCCTGCTGCAGCCATTTGTGCTCACCAAGCATCTGCTGGCAGATTGTCTGAAACCATCTGGGATGCAATGCAGGGTATGGCAGCCAGAAGAGGGAACTGGCAGTCATGCCATCCTACCTCTTCTATGACCGCTTCTACAACTTTCATAAGAGTTGGAGGGGGGAGAGTTTCTGCTAACTGCTGCTTCTGGCTGCAGCCCCTGATAACACCCCTCTCCCTGATAATACAAAATCAGGTGTAGCTTTTTGGGAAGTACACAGGTTGCATTGGAAGAGGAAGCAACAAAAATCTCTTCTGCAATCTTGGCATTTGCACGTTGATAAGATCCAACCCAGTGTCCATGAAATTATGAATCCAATGAGGGATTAACTCTAAATTATAACATGCAACTATAATGGGTTAATCTATTTAAATAAAGACAAATATGTGAACTGTTCCTAAACAAATGGCTTAGGGAAGCTGTATTATGTTTGTGGGAGGTTTGTGTGTTTTGCAAATAAAAATGGTGGTGTGGATTATTGTACCTCACAACCACACTTCCTTTCTGTTCCATCCTTCAGGGCAGTTAGAATGGTTCCAGCCCATTTGCAGGCTTTCACGGCAGTAGCCCAACTCTAAGGAATTATCTTCCATTGTTGGTAAGGAACCAATCAACCTTGTCAGTTTGTAGGAAAGTCTGTTAAGTGGTTTTATTTAAAAGGACTTTTGCTTAATCGGTGGCAGTGAAGTCTTGAATGTGGGTTGTTCTGCAGGACAATGACATCCATATTTTGTGGATTTAAAACTGTTTTTCATTGTTTTATTTGGTCAGATTATGTGAGTTTCTTGGGCCCTCTTTTTGTGGGGAAATGAAAGTTATAAATATTCCCGTAAATGTCCGTACATTGTACAGTGTCAACAAAGAGGTATTTTTGTATTATTTACTTAAACAGCAAAGGAGTTTGCAGCTTCTACAGATTTCTTCCCTCAATCCTAAACTATAATCTAAAGGCAGAGACAAATAGGTATTGTGTCCAAACATTGAGATGACAGGCACTTGATAAGACAGGTATCTCATTCATGATAGTGCAGGGGAGCAGTGAGACAGCTATCAGTTTTTTAAAGTCTATGGTTCATAGGGCTTGCAGTCTTTAAATCACGGGAACATACAGTCCCTTCTATCTGAATTTACAACTACGGTAATGCCTGGGGGATGTCAGAAACAGATTTGCCTGTACATGGACAATGAGCAACTGCTAAAAAAAAAAAAAAAAGATCTCTAAGACCTATTATGCACAAGTGTTGTCCCTCACTTTCAGCGTTCATGTCCATCACATTTTCTTTGTCATTCTGCATTGATTTTCTTCCCTTCAGCGCTTAGTTTGTTTTCTGGTCACTGTTTCCCCAGGTTTATTGAGAGTGCTTTTGTGCCAATTCCCCCCTTATTTTGCTTCCAAGCTGAAGGTAATTCAAAAGCATACAGATTACCTTGGATTTCCCTCCCCCGCACTTTTGCTGCCCCTCATAGGTCACTCCCCACCCACATTGAGGTTGTTCCGCCCACTCTGCATCTATCACCATCTTCCCCCTTTCATCGGTATATAAGCTCCATTTCCCCCTCATTTTTAAATTATTTATATATATATTTACAAGTGGCATCAGTCTAGCGATATGAGACAATCGCTAGTCTCAGATTCTTGAATTTAAAATAAATTAAAGCGATGGGGGGAAATTTTAAAGGAGCTGCACGAGGTTTAGTTCCCTGCTGGTATTGACTTGAAAGGGGGATCAGAGAGGAAGCAAACAGCAGCATTCCCAGTGCAAAAAAAAGGAAAAAAAAGGATTTCAGTGCTGCATGCAAACAAAATAAAGGGGGGATCGTCAGTGCATGGTGAAAATGACATGAGATGTAAAGAGAGAGAGACAGACACTGGGATGGGAAGCTTAAAGCTTTGAAAACATTTTTCCCTTTCATGCTTTAGTGAACAAAGTGTGTGGGGGGGACTATTTTGGCAGTCTCTAGAAGCCTAACATTAATTTGGTGTCTGAGCCAAATGGACATTCTGCAAACCACTGAATTTAAGAAATGCTTGGGATTGATCCATTTGGAGGAAGAGTGAGATCTGCACAGGATAGGCTGTAAAAAAACTACCAAGAGCATGACCAGTGTACAGAATCAAATTAGAGAATCACAAAGAGAAAACCATGCAAATTTGCAAGGAAGGGCAGGAAATCAGTGTTACTATGCACCTGTGCTAGAGCATCAGCAAAAATACCCCCAACACATTTTTTTCCAATTTAGTGGCACAAGACTAAAAAAACTCTCCAGAGCTTCTGTCAGAGGACTCTTCCCCCATACAGATTGCAGCCCTGTGCAAAGTGTGGCGGAGTTGCAGCCGATTTTGCACAAGCGCACATGCACACACACACACATTGCCAATGATCGCAGCTTGCAATGCTAGTGTCAATGGGTTCTATCATGTATTCTATACACTCAACATGTTCCCCCATATTATGAGATCATGTGACTCTCCCATTTTTCACAGTGGCTGATAACACAGCAGATGATCCCCGAGTGTTCCACAATATGGAATATGGGGCTTTGCACCTGTTTATCAATTTTAAAAAAAGGCTTGTCAATATGAACATTGGGTTTCCCCCCTTTGTGTGTATTCCTTTCTGTTCCCTTTCATTCAGTGTACTAAAATGCATGCGCAAAACCTGAACCACGAGGATTTCATTGGGAGGCACTTGCTGGATGCTACTGTGCACCTGCGATACGGCAAAAATAATAGTGCATAAGGCAGGCACAGAATCCCAAATCAAGATTAAAGGCTTACAGCTCTGAAAATCTGCAGTAAGATGTGTGTACATAATGAGCCTCAGAAAAGTATGAGGGCCATGTGACAATGCGTGGCCTCTCTCTTCCATTAACATCAGGCTGTTCTGGTGAATCAGGGGAATTCCTTGCCTCAGAGGCACGCTGATTATATTCAGGTTTCCTTAAACATGTGCAAAGAAGTTCATCTTGGAACTACTTCTTACGGGGAAGATAATATCCCCATAAGTAGAACTCCCAGTATGGTCGTCCCTTCACATATCTGAAGAAGTGAGCTGTTACTTATAAAAGCTCATATTGAAATAAAGACTAACAAATCTGTAAAGTGCCACTGGACACCTGTTTTCTTTTGCTAGACCAGATTAATATGGCTACCCCTTTGCAATCTCCTTTCTCTTGACTTACTACATAGACTTTATCTCATTGATTTGGAAGGAGGCAAGTCTGACACACTTCTCATTTTTGCTTTGAGTTGTCTGCCCATATACCCTTGACAGAATATACTTTGCTATAAGTCAAAACTCTTTTGCTGCACTTGGCAGAGCTCAAATAATGAGCAGGACAGACCCATTATAGTTAAACTCACTCACCCTCAGGAACTAGAGATGGTGCTTTCCCTAAAATGTAATTTCTAATGGCTTAGAAAAGTCGCAGGTGAAAACATTATGAATAAACAAAATAATGTTGCCATGTAAACTGACAATAATATTGGAGTGAAGGTTCTTACTCATTCAAAAGGTGAAGCAGGTTTTTTAATAACAGAACTTAATCAAAATCCTGCACTGCCTTTTGGAGCGGAGGCACCACTTAATGACACCATGTGGAACTTTTCTTTTGCGTGTTTGGGTTTACTGCTGTCTAAAACAGTGAAGGCTGATGTGTCAGTTTCCTCCAGTGGTGTGACTAGGATGGGCATGAACCAGGAAAATGTGGTTCGGTTTGTGGCTTGTGGCCTTCCCGGTTTGCGAACCACAAACCATCATGGACTTTTAGCTGCCAAATGAACTGGATTGTTTTGTGATGTGGGAGAATGCCCCGTGGTGTGCTAGAGACACCAAACTTAATGTGGATCTCTAGCTGAGTCTCCTCTGCCTGCCTTCCAAGTTTGGTGAGGATTAGATTTATGAGGTCAAAGTTATGCCCCCCCCCAAGGTGCCCCTAGGAAAGTGCTTTCTGGGGAAATGACAAGTGCCGGTACAGGAGGTTCAAGAGTGTATAGAATGGACCCTGTGCAAGCTGAAGGCATCAAACTCACAGGGGACCTTGCTCTAATTCTTCTCTATGCACCCTCCAAGTTATGTGGAGATTGGATTTAGGGGTCCAAGTTACAGGCCCCTCCAAAGAAGGTGCCCCCAAGAAAGTGCTTTGGGAAAATGTCAGGCTCAGGCTGTGGTCACCTGGTCATGTTGATCGGGTTTCACCGCTGCTCCCAATTGCATTTAAAAGGGCTGATCAGATGGCCACATCTGTCTCACGCAGGGCCGGCTCGCTCACTAAGTGAACTATATGTTCGCCTAGAGCACACCGGCCCTTAGGGGTGCCAAACTGCACCCAGCCCCCTGCCAAAAGCCTCCCTCTTCTGCTCTGCGGCGGAGCCTCCTTCGCACAGTGCTCTGGGCTAGAAAGCCTTGTTGCCTTGCACAGCCGTCCGCTCCGCTTCCGCCGTTCACCTCTCCGTCAGCCAGGCTCCCCCCCTCCCCGCCTTGCATGACCTTCCCTTTCCAACCTCTCCCCACTCCCTCAAAAAAAGACAAGAAAAGAAGAGGAGGAGGAGAGGGGGGGTCTGCCCCAGAGTTTGACAGCCCAGCACACGCAGCAGCAGTGGTGGCTGTGGCACAGCTGACCTCCAGCCTTTACTGGCGTCAATGCAAATGAACAGCGAGGACCAATCTGGAGCAGCGGGCGGTGGAGGAACCAACTTCAAACTGCCGTGGCGCCCGCACCCTGCCTAGGTGCACTGACCTAGGGCGCCGAAAAACCTCGGGCCGGCCCTGGTCTCACGTATCAAAGCGGATTCACCCCTATAATCCTCCTGGTTTCCCAGCAATTTTTCTGAACACCGGGAAAATCAAGTTCTTTCCAAATATTTGCGCTGTGAATCCGCAATTTTGCCAGTCTGGACAGCCATCTCTCACTATGAATGCGATTAGGTCGTCTGAACGTCCTCCTTGCACTGAAATGTTCCACCCAACTTTCGTCATTGTGCACATGATCAATCCTATGCTGAATATATTAAATGCATGAATGTTGAAGCGCCGGTTGACCAACTGAAGTTCATGAACCAGTGCCACAAACCAGCCAGAATTCATCACCAACTTAAGTTCATGAGCTGGTTCGTGCCCATCCCTGGGTGTGAAATGCTAGCTTTAACACTATGAATCTCAAAGTTCTAATTTTAAAACTATTTGTAGTAGCACTGTTAACTGACAAAAGGAATTTTAGTTGATGAATCATATGTCTTTTGGCAGATTAACTGATGAACTGCTGATAAATCTGCATATTTTCCAAGTCCCAATATGCCTTTTTACAATATTGAAGGAAGATAATCACAACTTAATAAATAAAAGCTCTCAACTTGTTAGAACAAAAGCCATCTTTAATATTGTTTTCATTCACATAAGAGTTGTAATAACCTCACTGCAAACAAATGTGCCTCTAACTCTTAGTGATACTTTTTTTTAAACTGCCCTCAACAATTGGTCAGTGACAGCTTGAGCCAATCTTCTGACTAAAGTTTGATGTTATACTTGGTTAAAGACCATAAGAAGAACGCAGCTGATCAGAGCAAAGGCCCACCCTTTCCAGCATGCTGGTTTTCAC